GACAAGGCCTTATGCCTATCATAAATTCCTTAAAGAAAACCAAGGGCTGCTAATTAGTTGCTCCAGCACCAATAATAAATTAAAGATTCTTACAAAAGTTAATTTTAAAATACAAGTTACAAAGTAAACAACTGGAAAGGATATAGATAGGTATTGAATGTATTTTTTGAGAAGTTAAAGGAAAAAGGAATGGTTTTTTTTGGATGAGAAAAGGATTTTCTAAAGAAGGGTTTGTCCTAAAGATTGTTTCAAACAGGAGGGATAAGGACAAGCCATCAAAGGGTTTAGTATGCTATATGAAGGTCTGAGTAAGTTTTAAAAGTGTATATAAAGTTAAAATTGACTAAGAGTTGCCTAAAAGATTTTTAGGGTCATGTCAAACTAAAATCAAATTCTCTATGTCTATAAATTAAGAAGGTTATCTTAATATTGTTCTGCTCTGAGTAACATCTACAAAAAACTGTTACAGAGAAAGATTTTATCAAGGAAATTATTTGTGTTTTCTGCTGATCTTGTCAAGCTTGAAGTACTACTAAATCAGAGTTCATTTACATTTTTGCTCATGTGTCTTAAATGACCACCTTACAACAGTGTTGTGTCTATACTTTATCTAAATATGGTACAAACATTTACAAAGTTATATAAAAAAATAAGCTGGAGCTCTCTTTTATCCAAGAGTGTTACATTTAACCTAAATCCTGACAGTCAGCCCCTGCCTCCCTTAGCTACCTACCTAGGTGTGGTCTTAAAGGGACAGACTCACTCCCTGAGTCATGAGGGAATCGACCCAATCCTCCATTTCCCACTCCCCCTTACCATAAAGCAGCTTAGAGCTTTCTTGGGAGTAACAGGATTTTGTAGAATCTGGATCCCTAGATATGCAGCCCTTAGCAGACACCTTTTCATGCTCCTTCTAATATTCCTGTTTGGGTCTTACATAATAAATGCTCTCAAGACTGTTTCCCCTCCCCCAATTAAGATGCAAACCAAACCAGTTCACCTGAGAAAGCCTGTGAATCCCTGGCCAATGAGAAAACCCCCCTACACCGGACCACCCCCGAAGCCCTTCCTTCTTGGGCCCCTTTGAAATAATGTATGGCTGCCCATTTCTCTTAGGAAACTTGCCTCCAACAGACCCTGCTCCTTTGGCTGACTATCTACCTTATCTTAACCTTCTCGGGGAACTTCTCAGAGAGCATGCAGACCAGATTCTGCCCCACCCTATAACAATTTCTGTTAAACCAGGGAATCTTGTTCTCTGAAAGGATCTTCGGCCCTCTCCATTGGGACTTTGGTGGACCGGCCCTCATCTGGTCATCCTCACAACACCCACCGCTGTCAAGCTCAACGGGATCCCCCAGTGGCAGCACCTCTCAAGGATAAAACACCTCAGACTCTTCCACTACGGCAAAGGATGAGTACTCTTGTGTACCGCTGGGCCCCACATGGCTAGACCTCTCCCATAAACTCTCTCCCTCTTCCACTCCCACATAAGTTCCTAGTCCTTATCTGGCTCTCAATTTTCTGCCATAAGTGGATTTAAAACACTGATGGGGCAGTGAGCCTAATTCTGGGAGCATACATAATACTTCCCTGCTTCCTTCCCTTGGTTATACGATCTGTTAGGTCCATTACAGAGGCTACTACAGAAAGAAAAACAGCTGCACATGTAATGATGCTACTCCAAAACCGATGAGGCCTTGACCTGCTCACTGCAGAGAAGGGTGGTCTCTGCCTGTTTTTACAAGAAGAATGCTGCTTCTACGTTAACCAGTTGAGGGTAGTAAAAGATAAAATTAGACAAGTCCAGGAGCGACTAGAAAAATGGAGAAGGGAGTTGGAGGACTCTTGGAATCCTCTAGGGAACAACATCTCACAGTGGTTCTCCTGGCCAATGCCCATCCTGATGCCTATGTTTCTTGCTCTCCCATTCCTAAGCTTCCTCCCTTGTATCATAAAAACAGTACAAACATTTCTCTTAGACCGCATGTCCGCTGTTGCTAATCAAAAGCTTAACCAGATGTACCTCCAGGGATATCAACCTCTCCAAAACCGTCTGGAGGACTGCTGTGAGGGCCCCCATCAGGACGCCACTACAGCCACAGGAGTGTGAAGATCCTGCCCCATACAACACCCCCTGCTAGCAGGAAGCAGCTAAGAGGCCGACGCTAAGGAGCTCCACCCCTAATGGAGACTCCCGGGCACACATTAACTTCCTCAAGCTCCCTCTTCTATGAAAGCCACACCTAGCCCAGAGTCAGTGCTGCACCATCTTACCCCAGCCAGCCTGCCAGCTCGAGCCTGTCATTAAACCTTGGTCTTGGACGTGAGACTTTTCTCGTGAGCTTTCTTTGCGAGTAGCATTTTTCCTAACAATTACTTCCTTTAATTCTTTCAGAAGCTTGTGAAGAAGGTAAGAAAAGAGAGTAATAATGCCCTCCATTTACAGGGAAAGAAAGGCAAAGAGAGGTTAAGTATACTGTTGCTTAAACAAGCATGATTATGCATGCCTTTGCGTGGCAAGGCTTTCTGCTCAATCCAGTCCAACACAGCTGACTTTCTACATCTCAAATCAGTGCTAAAATGGGGTTCTTCCAGGAAAAGAAAGAGTGAGGGAGATGTAGGGAGACATGTAGATTACGAGACTTAAAACCTATCATCTGATAAAAGGTATGAGGGTTTATTTCTAGGGGAGATGGAAAAGTTCTAAAATTACATTACTGTGATGATTTCACAACTCTGTAAATATACTTCAAAACAAAACAAAACAACAACAAAAAACACCACTGATTTGGACCAGGCAAGGTGTTTATGACTATAATCCTATTTACTCAGGAGGAAGAATTGGGGAGGATGGCAATCTTAGGCAAAAAATTAATCAGACCCCGTCTCAATCAATAAGCCAGTTGTGGTACCATAAGCCTGCTATCCCAGCTACGTGGAAGGAGTAAGTCCAGACAGGCCCTGGCAGAATGTAACACTCTATCACAAAAAATAACTAAAAGGAAAAAAGGGCCCAGTGCCTCACACCTGCAATCCTAGCTATTGAGGAGGCAGAGATCAGGAAGATCACAGTTCAAACCCAGATCAGGCAAATAGTTCGAGAGACCATATCTTGACAATACCCAACACAAAAGAGTGCTCAGGGTGTAGGCCCTGAGTTCAAACCCCAGTACTATCAAAAAAAGAACAAGAAAAAGAAAAAAGGCCAGGCACTTGTGATCCTAGCCACTCAGGAAGCAGAGATCAGGAGAATCCTGGTTCAAAGCCAGCCTGGGCAAATAGTTTGCAAGATTGTACCTCTAAAATACCCATCACAAAAAAGGGCTGGTGGAGGGGCTCAAGTGGTAAGAGTGCCTGCCTAGCAAGCCTATCAAGTGGGAGGCCCTGAGTTCAAACCCCAGCACCACACACACACACAAAAAAAAACCCACAAAAGGTGAATTTTATAGTGTGTAAATTTTATCTCACAAAACTGTTAAAAAGGCATACCAATTTTTTGAAAATGGGCAAGAGTAAACTTTTGTGGCTACGGATTCACTTCTGCATGATAAAATGCTAAGGAAAGGCATGGAGCTGGTAAGTAGGAAACTCAGGATTGCTTTCAGGCAGTTGTGTTCTGTGATTAGAATTGGGCACAGGATGAAGTTGCCCAATTTAGTTAAACAAAGGTGTTTAACTACATATGGTTTTGTGTTCTGTGTCTGTTTTGTTATATAATAGAATGTTTTTCAACATAGGGAAATCAAGAATGAAATGACACCAAAAAAAAAAAAAAAGAAATGACACTGCATGCCACACAGGATCTTACATGGCCCCCAAGAGCTCCACCTCCTCATCTTCATGCCCTCGTGTCATTCCCTCCCCTTGAGTGTGAGTTGTATGACCTGTGGTTTGCTTCTAAGCCATGAAATAAGGCATAGGCCTTATGTATGTAATTACATGTTTATGTGAGTATTATATGTGACTTCAATGTCCATCTTGCTAGGAAACTTTTTTTTTTTTGTGATTTTTTTTTCTTTTTCTTTTATTATTCATATGTGCATACAAGGCTTGGGTCATTTCTCCCCCCTGCCCCCACCCCCTCCCTTACCACCCACTCCGCCCCCTCCCTCTAACCCCCCCCCACAATACCCAGCAGAAACTATTTTGCCCTTATTTCTAATTTTGTTGTAGAGAGAGTATAAGCAATAACAGGAAGGGACAAGGGTTTTTGCTGGTTGTGATAAGGATAGCTATACAGGGCATTGACTCACATTGATTGCTAGGAAACTTTTTTTTTTTTCCCCTGAGGTACTGGGGTTTGAACTCAGGCCCTCAAGTTTGTTAGGCAGGCATTCTACCACTTGAGCCACTCCAGCCCCACCCCACTTTTTTTTATGCTTGCAAAGCAGGTGCTTGAGCCACACCTCTAGTCCATTTTGCTCTAGGTATTTTGGAGATGGGGGGGGTCTCGAAAATTATTTGCCCTGGCCGGCCTTGAACCTCAATCCTCCCCATCTCAGCCTCCCATGTAGCTAGGAATACAGGCGTGAGCCACCAGTGCCCAGCTTGTGCCCTGACTCCTAATCCACAGAAACCATGCAATAATACCTATGGGGTGTTTTTGTTATAGGTTGGTTGTTTTTGTTTTCAGTGCTGGGGATCTAACCCAGGTCCTTATGCATGCTAGGCAAGTGCTGTACTACTAGCTATATCCCCAGCCTGTGTTTTGTTTTAAACTACTAAATTCATGCAATTGAACAAATAACCCATGCCCCTTCTGTTTGGGGGCTCCCTAAGGCCACCATCTGATTCAATGATTCACTATGAGGACTCACTGAACTCAGCAATGCTGTGATACTCATGGTTACAGTTATTTATCTATTTATTCATTCATTTATTTATTTATTTATTTTACACTGGGGCTTGAACTCAGGGCCTACACCTTGAGCCACTCCACCAGCCCTTTTTGTGATGGATTTTTTTCAAGATAGGATCTCTGGAACTGTTTGCCCAGGCTGGCTTTGAACTGCAATCCTCTTGATCTCTGTCTCCTGAGTAGCTAGGATTATAGGCGTGAACCACTGGCGCCTGGCTTCACAGTTAGTTTAGTACAGTGAAAAGCCACAGAGGTCCAAAAGACATCCCAATTCTCTTCTCCCAGTGCACTCATGAGGACAAGGCTTAATTGTCCCCACAATCATGTGTGGGAACCTGCATGCAGTACTGCCAATGAGGAAAATTCACCAAGGCATGGTGTCCAGGGTTTTTATTGGAGTCAGTCACATACGCCTGCCTTACTTCCTACAAGGGTGACTTAATCTCCAGTCCCTGCTGAAGTCAAGGTGATACTGCAAGGCCCAAAGTCCCCAGGAAAACAAAGTCACTCTTATTAGGCAGGACAGTCCAAGGACTTAGAAACCATCTCCCAGGAGACAGTCCAACACCAGTCCTTTCTTTGAAAGGTTCAGGGTTCAAAGACCTCAAGCCCACTTGGTTAATCCTGTACCACACTTTTGTGTAACCACAAAAAAAGTGGGATTGAAGTCATGTTGCCACCCTGATTGAAGGCAGGGAGAGAGACCAGGAAAGTACTCTTTAACCTCCGAGGGACCTTTATTCCTTTACTTGCTTTACGGTCAGGGAGTTCCCAGGACTTAAGCCATACAGCCAGAAGGCAGGGTGCAGAGGAGAGGAGGCAGAGACCTCACACTCATACAGAAGCCTCTCCTGACTGGCCACTGAGTAAAAGGCAAGCTTCCCCTCCTCAAGGTCCAGCCAGATGGCCACCACCTCTGGTCGGTCTGAGACAAGTTCAGTTTTCTTAACCATAGTCCACGCAGAGAACTGGCCAGTTCCCCTCCATTCTATACACCAAGAGTCCGTAGTCCTTCCCAGCATCCGGTCCCGGCTCATGCCCCAGGAAGCCACCCCAACTGCCCAGTGGTTGCAATACCTAGTGTCCACTTCCCAGTACTGCCGCCCAGAAGAGAGGGCTTGGGAACATAAGGCCTGGCTGACTGAAAACCTCTCTGGACTCCAGGGATAGGGCTGTGGGCAGCGAGACACGGTCACTGTCCGGCAATCCGAGGATACCTCCAGACTGCAGGACAGGCTCCTCAAGTCAAAGGTTGGATTGATGGTCCCTGGGGAGAACAAAGTCAACACCACAAGAACATGCTGGTCAGCTTTTGGTCATCAATGCTAAAAGGTCACCCACTACAAAAAAGCAGCATTACCTCTTTCAATGTGAGGTTGTTTTATTCGTTATAAGCAGAAGTCACTATTATAGACTTTTCATTTTCTATACATGCCCCCCTGTTGTATGGAAAATAACCCATTTCTGCTTTGATTTTAGCCATCTTTCAGAAAGCTACCTCTGAATCCCACCCTTGTGCTGCTCATGAATGAGTATGATGAGCAAGGCTGTTTGTATCTCTCCAGTTAAACTTCAGCCTTCTTCTACTGCTGTTGTTTTGGTTTATTTTTTATTAGCATATATTAAGTGTACAGAAGGGTTTCATTGTGATATTTCTATATATGCACATAATGTACTTGGATCAAATTCACCCCTTCTATTACTCTTTCTTGTTTCCTCGCTGTCTTTAAACAATTTTTAATGTGTTTCATTCTTTTTTTTTTTTTTTTTTTGCAGTACTGGGGTTTGAACTCAAGGCCTTACACTTACTAGGCAGGTACTTTACCCCTTGAGCCACTACTACAGCACTATTTTTTGTGTTGGGTATTTTTGAGATAGGGTCTCACAAACTATTTGCCCAGGGCTGGCTTCGAATTGTGATCCTCCTGATTACTGTCTACTGAGTGGCTAAGATTACAGGCATGAGCCACCAGTGCCCAGCTCAGTATTCTATTTTCGCACATGTGCATGACCTACTTCCATTATATTCACACCCCCTACACCCTCTCCTTTTTGCCCTTCCCCCTTCCACTGGTTCCCACCCTTTAACAGTCCCCCCAGAGGTTCAGCTTTCTCATGAAGATCCATGGATTATCCATTTGTATGTATGTATATATACATAACTATGTACATATACAAATACCTCTTACTTATTTGTGGGATGTGGTACTAGAGCCTAACTCAGGATCCTATGCTTGTTAGACAAGTGCTCTACCTCGTAAGTCATGCCCTTAAGCCCTTTTTCCCTTTACTCCTTTTTTAGCCTCAGACTGCAATCCTCCTACCTACATCTCCCACAATAGCTGGGATTACAAGTATATAATACCATGCCTAGCTTGTTTGTTGAGATGAAGTCTCTCTGTTTTTGCTCAGACAGGTCTTGAACTGTAATCCTGATCTCCACTTCCCTCATAACTGGGATTATAGGTGTAAACCACCATACCTGACCCTACACATTTGGTCCCTCTTTTTTTTTTTTTTTTTTTTTTTTTGTGAGACTGGGGTTTGAATTCAGGGCTCCACACTTGCAAAGCAGGCACTCTATTACTTGAGCCACACCTCCAGTCTATTTTGGTTTGCTTTAGTTATTTTGGAGATGGGGTCATGAGAACTATTTACCCAGTCTGACTTTGAATGGCTATCCTCCTAATCTCAGCTTCCCAAGTAGTTAGGATTAAAGGCATGAGTAACTCTGCCAGGCTTCTGAGACATTTTTAAAGTTTTTATTAAAACTGGTCTACCAAAAAAGTCCCCTAAGCACAATGATTTACATTTCTTTATAGCCTCTTCTGATCTCTGACATACATATACAGTCTTAACTGTTATTGTCATAGCAACTCATCTTTTGTCTCAGGGTTTTTATCTGAAAGCACAATGCATTGAGTCTCTTGAAGATCATCTTTCAGATCCTTTTACATAATGAACTTATGTGCTGGTGCCCAGCTTGATCCTATATATTTTGTATTGTTTCCTTTTCATTGTTTTATGCTAGTGGTGATAAAATCCAGGGCCTCAGTGATACTACCACTGAGCCACACCCCTACCCCTACTGTTTCCTACTGATTGAACAAATAACTGGTAACATTTGAATAACACTTTACATATACATACTCACACGACCTCATGACAATTCCACGAGAGAAGTACTGTTATCATCTCTATTTTATAGATGAGGGAACAGACACTGGTGACTTGTCCAAGTTCACACATCTAATGAGCAGAGCTGCTGGGAGTCCAGCCCAGGCTCCCCAGGACCCGTGCTCTTAAAGACTATCTAGACTGGGACAGCAGTAGTCCCTATGTAGATAGGGAAGAGGCAGTTGGCTGTAACCGATGGCCCCAGCATGGATGCACAAATATTGTCTGTGCATCCTTGAGCATCTAAGTGCTCAAGGGTCTAACTGATCCTAAGATTTGGGAGTCTCAAAGCTCTTTGCCTTTCTCAGCTCTCCATGTGGAGGGGCATGCTCTGGAAAACACATGCAGGCATGGTAAGCCAAGCAGTGGGCCCCCATCAGGGAGATGGATACACATGTGCTCACAGTTCCTCTCTATAGCAGGCCAAACCTAAGTCTTAAGACTTACATGGAGCAAATCGAGAGGCCCTCCTAGGTGCTGGGCAGCTCTGGACAGGCAGTGGGCATGAGGAGGAAGATGGAGATTCTAGGAGATCCACTAAGGAATCAAAAAAAATTGAGAAGAGAAAGTCTCATGAGAAAAATGCAAACTGAAGGAAGCCCTCTGGACACATGGGTTGCCTTCCTCCTCATCTGTACATTTCTGAGTTCAGGACTTGATCAGGAAGTACACTCAGCTCAGGTACACCAGTCCCATGTTCTCACTGTGGACTTTTTTACCGTCCATTTTCCCACTAGGCCCTAAGCGCCTTGCTGGCAGGACTCCATTCACTTTTGTTGTAAGCACCAAGCACTGTATGAGCCCCGTGCCTATAAAGTGTATGATGCGTATTAATCAAAAAAAGTAGCTAATTCGGTTCCAGATTTTATCAGATATATATTACACATACATACCAAAGTGAAGTAGGGTAGGGGGCTTTGTTTAAGCATTTTTTTTTTTTTTGCAGTACTGAGGTTTGAACTCAGACCCTTCATCTTGAGCTACCCACCAGTCCTTTTTGTGTGAAGGTTTTTTTTTTGAGCTTGGGTCTCCTGAACTATTTGCCCCTGGCTGGCTTCGAACCACAATCCTCCCGATCTCTATCTCCTGAGTAGCTAGGGTTACAGACGTGAGCCACCAGTCATGCCTAAACATTTCTTTAGATAAGTGTTCCCTGATTTTGAGCACTTGTTATACTGGATCATTCTTTTTTTTTCTTTTTCTTTCTGCAGTACTGGGGTTTGAACTCAGGACCTCACACTTGCTAGGCAGGTACACTATCACTTGAGTCACTCTGCCACTCATTTTTTGTGTTGGGTATTTCAAGATACACTCTTAAAAACTATTTGCTTGGGCTGGCTTTGAACCTTGATCCTCCTGATCTCTGTCTCCCAAGTGGCTTGAGACAGTGTTGTAATTGTCTAGAAAATTAGGCTAAACATGGGGTAGATCATGTAATTTTAAGGTTAAAACCCCTAGGGCTATTTCCTGTCTTATGCCACATACATAAGAAAAAGCTTGTTTAGATTTGGGATCTCTAATGCTTGGTCTGACATTACGAGTTCTTCATCAGGACCCTATCTGAGACCTTGGGTAGTCTCATATAGGGGATTGGCTATGAGCCCAAATTCCAGGATACATATTCTACAAAATTCTGCTATTTCCAAGAGCATCCTAAACTGGATGCTTTTTTTTTTTTTTTTCTTTCTAGGGGGTACCACCGTGTAAAATGGCAGTTTTTTTGGTGGGACTGGAGTTTGAACTCAGGACTTTGCCCTTGCAAAGCAGGTGCTCTCCTGCTTAAGCCTCACCTCCAGTCTGTTTTGCTCTGCTTATTTTAGACATGGAATACCAGAAATACTTATCCAGGCTGACCTCAAACTGTGACCCACACGGGCCTCACACTTGCTCAGCAAGCACTCTACCACTTGAGCCACTCCACCAATCCTGTTTTGTGATGGGTTTTTTCAAGATAGGATCTTGCCAAGTATTTGTCCAGGCTGGCTTAGAACTGTGATCCTCCTGATCTCTGCCTCCTGAATAGCTAGGATTACAGGCGTGAGCCACCAGTGCCTGACTATGGCAGTTTTTCACCCAGGAGCCAAAATATGTTCCCAAGGGCTAGGTCCCAAATATTTGACCATTTGTTATGATTTAACCTTTTGTGGCTTTGGGGGTTATACTTGGTACTGCACTGATCCCATTAAATTAAGCACTTGTATGGTATTTTTATCTGAATCCAATTTTGTTGGACTACAAATTCACTACATGATCTGTATACTTGATTACTGTCCCTTGGTTAAGCATTATTGCCCCTTAGCCAGAGCATTTTCAAGTAAGTGCAGACTGTCTCTAAATTCTTGGGGTAAAACAGTCCAAGTATATTGAGTAGTTATCAGAGGACTTGGGCCAGTCCATTCAAAGGCAAATAAGAACTGTGAAGTAGGTTCAGTAATATGAAAAAGAAGGCATCCTTTAAATCAAGAACAGTGAACCAGGATGTTTCTGTGAAGTATCTGAGGTAAAATATTATAAGGGTTTGGAGCTGGGTGCCAGTGGCTCATACCTCTAATCTTAGCGACTCAGGAGGCAGAGATCAGGAGATTGAGGCTCAAAGCCAGCCTGGGCAAATAGTTGGCAAGACCCTGTTTGGATAAACCCTTCATAAAAAAGGGCTTATGGAGTGGCTCAAAATGTAGGCCCTAAGTTCAAGCCCCAGTACCACAAAAAAAAAAAAAAAAAAAAAGGTTTTAAAGTATCACATGAATAACAATCACAGTTTTCTAATCAATACTCTCCATTTGAATTGAAGACAGGGAAAAAAGGAGAATTATAGGGAGACCATCATTGCACAAAAAGTCCAAATTTGATCAATTTAGAGATTAAAGTTGAAGCCCCTGGTGGGCTTCTGGCTTAACAGGATATTGCCCCTTACAAGTAAAATGAGTTGGCCCTTTTAAGTGAATAATGCCTGGTTGTGTATTCATGGCTTTTCCAGGTGTCTCAGTGTCCTAGACCTGAGCGGGTTTATTCTTGATGAGATTTCCTTAGGATGCAATGAGAAAATCTTTCAGAGGGGGATTTACTAATGCCCCCAAAGGGAAAGGGTGGCTAGGGTCTAATTTCATTGTATCCCACAAATGGCTAATATGTTCCATCCCAACAGAGGGGCTGGACATTCAGGTATCATAAGAAATGAGTAAGAAGCCTGGTGCTGATGGATCACCTCTGTAATCCTAGATACTTGGAAGGCTGAGATCAGGAGGACCAAGGCTGAAGGCCAGCCCAAGCAAATCATTTTGAGACCCCCATCTCCAAAATAACCAGAGCAAAGTGGACTGGAGGTGTAGCTCAAGTGGGAGGGCGCCTGCTTTGCAAATATAAAGCCATGAGTTCAAACCCCAGTAGAAAGAAGGAGGGAAGGAAGGAAGGAGAGGAGAGAGGAAGAAGGAAAAAGAAAAAGAGAAAGAGAGAGAAAAGGAAGGAGGTCAGAAAAAAGTTTCATAACTACTTGTCAAAGGTCAGGTGAACTTTTTTATCTTTGAGGTGCCATCAATGCTGATCACTATACATTCTTGTTTTGAAAGAGGTCTGGAAAATAGAAATAATACCATGCATACTATCTGACCACAATGCAGTAAAAGTAGAACTCAACAACAAAAGTAAAGACAAAAAACATGCAAACAGCTGGAAACTAAATAACTCATTACTTAATGAAGAATGGATCATCGATGCAATAAAAGAGGAAATTAAAAAGTTCCTGGAAGTCAATGAAAATGAAAACACAACCTACCGGAACCTATGGGACACAGCTAAGGCAGTCTTGAGAGGAAAGTTTATAGCCATGAGTGCATATATTAAAAAGATTGAAAGATCCCAAATCAATGACCTAATGATACATCTCAAACTCCTAGAAAAACAAGAACAAGCAAATCCCAAAACAAATAGAAGGAGAGAAATAATAAAAATAAGAGCTGAAATCAACGAAATAGAAATCAAAAAAACCATACAAAGAATTAATGAAACAAAAAGTTGGTTCTTTGAAAAAATAAACAAGATCGATAGACCCCTGGCAAACCTGACTAAAATGAGGAGAGAAAAAACCCAAATTAGTAGAATTAAGAATGCAAAAGGGGAGATAACAACAAACACCATGGAAGTCCAGGAAATCATCAGAGACTACTTTGAGAACCTATATTCAAATAAATTTGAAAATCTAAAAGAAATGGACAGATTTCTAGATACATATGATCATCCAAAACTGAACCAAGAGGAAATTAATCACCTGAATAGACCTATAACACAAAATGAAATTGAAGCAGCAATCAAGAGTCTCCCCAAAAAGAAAAGTCCAGGACCTGATGGATTCTCTGCTGAATTCTATCAGACCTTTAAAGAAGAACTGATACCAACCCTCCTTAAACTGTTCCATGAAATAGAAAGGGAAGGAAAACTGCCAAACACATTTTATGAAGCCAGTATTACACTTATCCCAAAACCAGGCAAAGACACCTCCAAAAAGGAGAACTATAGGCCAATCTCCTTAATGAACATTGATGCAAAAATCCTCAACAAAATAATGGCAAACGAATTCAGCAACACATCAAAAGATTATTCACCACGACCAAGTAGGCTTCATCCCAGGGATGCAGGGGTGGTTCAACATACGAAAATCAATAAACGTAATAAACCACATTAACAGAAGCAAAGACAAAAACCACTTGATCATCTCAATAGATGCAGAAAAAGCCTTTGATAAGATCCAACATCATTTCATGATAAAAGCTCTAAGAAAACTAGGAATAGAAGGAAAGTTCCTCAACATTATAAAAGCTATATATGACAAACCTACAGCCAGCATTATACTTAACGGAGAAAAATTAAAACCATTCCCTCTAAAATCAGGAACCAGACAAGGATGCCCACTATCTCCACTCCTATTCAACATAGTACTGGAATTCCTAGCCAGAGCAATTAGGCAAGAAGAAGGAATAAAAGGAATACAAATAGGTAAAGAAACTGTCAAAATATCCCTATTTGCAGACGACATGATCCTATACCTTAAAGACCCAAAAAACTCTACTCAGAAGCTTCTAGACATCATCAATAGCTATAGCAAGGTAGCAGGATATAAAATCAACATAGAAAAATCATTAGCATTTCTATACACTAACAATGAGCAAACGAAAAAGAATGTATGAAAACAATTCCATTTACAATAGCCTCAAAAAAAATCAAATACCTAGGTGTAAACCTAACAAAAGATGTGAAAGACCTCTACAAGGAAAACTATACACTTCTGAAGAAAGAGATTGAGGAAGACTATAGAAAGTGGAGAGATCTCCCATGCTCATGGATTGGTAGAATCAACATAGTAAAAATGTCTATACTCCCAAAAGTAATCTACATGTTTAATGCAATTCCCATCAAAATTCCAATGACATTCATTAAAGAGATTGAAAAATCTACTGTTAAATTTATATGGAAACACAAGAGGCCACGAATAGCCAAGGCAATACTCAGTCAAAAGAACAATGCAGGAGGTATCACAATACCTGACTTCAAACTATATTACAAAGCAATAACAATAAAAACAGCATGGTACTGGCACAAAAACAGACATGAAGACCAGTGGAACAGAATAGAGGATCCAGATATGAAGCCACACAACTATGAGCAACTTATCTTTGACAAAGGAGCTAAAAATATACGATGGAGAAATAGCAGCCTCTTCAACAAAAACTGCTGGGAAAACTGGTTAGCAGTCTGCAAAAAACTGAAACTAGATCCATGTATATCACCCTATACCAAGATTAACTCAAAATGGATCAAGGATCTTAATATCAGACCCCAAACTCTTAAGTTGATACAGAAAGAGTAGGAAATACTCTGGAGTTAGTAGGTATAGGTAAGAACTTTCTCAATGAAACCCCAGCAGCACAGCAACTAAGAGATAGCATAGATAAATGGGACCTCATAAAACTAAAAAGCTTCTGTTCATCAAAAGAAATGGTCTCTAAACTGAAGAGAACACCCACAGAGTGGGAGAAAATATTTGCCAATATACATCAGACAAAGGACTGATAACCAGAATATACAGGGAACTTAAAAAACTAAATTCTCCCAAAACTAATGAACCAATAAAGAAATGGGCAGTGAACTAAACAGAACTTTCTCAAAAGAAGAAATTCAAATGGCCAGAAAACACATGAAAAAATGCTCACCATCTCTAGCAATAAAGGAAATGCAAATTAAAACCACACTAAGATTCCACCTCACCCCTGTTAGAATAGCCATCATCAGCAACACCACCAACAACAGGTGTTGGCGAGGATGCGGGGAAAAAGGAACCCTCTTACACTGTTGGTGGGAATGTAGACTAGTACAACCACTCTGGAAAAAAATTTGGAGGCTACTTAAAAAGCTGGACATCGATCTACCATTTGATCCAGCAATACCACTCTTGGGGATATACCCAAAAGACTGTTACTCCAGAGGCACCTGCACATCCATGTTTATTGCGGCACTATTCACAATAGCCAAGTTATGGAAACAGCCAAGATGCCCCAGCACTGACGAATGGATTAAGAAAATGTGGTATCTATACACAATGGAATTTTATGCAGCCATGAAGAAGAACGAAATGTTATCATTCGCTGGTAAATGGATGGAATTGGAGAACATCATTCTGAGTGAGGTTAGCCTGGCCAAAAACCAAAAATCGTATGTTCTCCCTCATATGTGGACATTAGATCAAGGGCAAACACAACAAGGGGATTGGACTATGAGCACATGATAAAAGCGAGAGCACACAAGGGAGGGGTGAGGATAGGTAAGACACCTAAAAAACTAGCTAGCATTTGTTGCCCTTAATGCAGAGAAACTAAAGCAGATACCTTAAAGCAACTGAGGCCAATAGGAAAAGGGGACCAGGTACTAGAGAAAAGGTTAGATCAAAAAGAATTAACCTAGAAGGTAACACCCACGCACAGGAAATCAATGTGAGTCAATGCCCTGTATAGCTATCTTTATCTCAACCAGCAAAACCCCTTGTTCCTTCCTATTATGGCTTATACTCTCTCTACAACAAAATTAGAGATAAGGGCAAAATAGTTTCTGCTGGGTATTGAGGGGGGGAGTGGGAGGGGGTGGAGTGGGTGGTAAGGGAGGGGGTGGGGGCAGGGGGGAGAAATAAACCAAGCCTGTATGCACATATGAATAATAAAAGAAAAATGAAAAAAAAAAAAAAAAGAAAGAGGTCTGGAGAACTCAATCAATGCAGAATAATGAGCCCCAGTATCAAAGGAAATTTATTAATTTTACCTGCCATGTCAAGAATCACACGAGGCTCCTCATGTTATTAACAGTTGACTGATGGGGGCTCCATCAGAGGAAGGCCTGGGCATCTCTAATCTTCAAGGGCTGCCAATCCAGAGGCAACTGGCCTTATTCCCTCTAGAGCCAAGAACATTGTCTCCTCTAGTGTTTTCCCTCCTTGCAGAAGGTGCAACACCCCAATTCTCTTGGTCCTTTCCTGGGACAGTTAACGTTCTAGTGTCATTACTGTCCACATCCCAAGCATTCTTGGGTTTTTCCTTGAGGGGTGTTTCTTTGGGAGGTAATTTTCCTCCCATAGCTAAAGCTAATAGCTAGGTGTGCTCTCTTGTCTGCAACTGCTTTCTCTTAACCCTGGGGTATCCTCTGTTTTGTCTCAGATGTTGAAGACCCTAAAGGCCAAATTGAGTAACTGATCCAAAGGTGGCTATCCCATTTCTTTTCTCTCTCTCTCTTTTTTAAAAAACATAGCTGGGAGGAAGGTGGCTCATATCTATGATCCCACTTACTTGGGAAGTAGAGATTAGGAAGATATAGAGGTTTGAAGCCAGCTCAGGCAAAAAGTTCACGAGACTCCATGTCCATAAAAATGCTGGGCGCAGTGGTGTGGACCTAGTTGTCCCAGCTATGTGGGAAGCATAAATAGGAGGATCTAAGCCCAACTGGCCCAGGCATAAATATGAGATCCTACTAGAAAAATACCTAAAGCAAATAGGGCTGGGGCATGGCACAAGTGGTAGAGCCCCTGCCTAGCAAGCACAAGGCCTTGAGTTAAACATCCCCCCAAAAAAAACAAACAAAAAAGGAGGGTTTTCACATGTAGATTGAGTGATTTCTCTAATCTTATCATAATTTACTGGTTTACTCATTGATTTTTCTCATTCCTTCAATAAGACAAATAACCCTGTGATTTCTTAGGTTTAAATCACAACTCCAGGCTAACAGTCCCGTCTAGACTCAGAATTTAGTACTGCATTTTCATCTTCCGGTTTAGAAGCATTTCTGGCATGAATGCTTCTAAATGCTTCTCCATAAGCCTGAGCTGCCAACCAAGTATGACTTTTTTTCTTCTGGAGTGCAGCAAGCTAATAATACAGTACCCAAGTCCATCCAGGTCAGATCAAAAGACATAGTCAGAGACTGAAATTCATCTACAAACTTTTCAGGGTCCTGGGAAAAGTGTCCAAGTTTACACATGCGTTGTGTTAGGTCAGTCATGAAAAGAGGCACACAAGCTCATATTATTCCTCCTTTGCTCCCAGCCACTTCCCTCACAGGGCAAAGGTTATTTGGACCTGGATGGTAAGAGGTTCTACTTTTTCACGTTGGTTCTTAAGGGCTTTGGTTCTTAAAGGAGGATATAAAAAGTAGTATGCTGGAGGGTAAAGTGGAGAAGAAATGGTTGCAGAGGAGGATTAAACAGGTGACTCACAAGTGGATGGAGTGGCCAATGAAGTAGGGTGACTGCTTAGCAAGTATGAATTCAAACCAAAGTATGAAGAAGGGGAGAGGAGGAAGGAAGGAAGGGAGGGAGGGAGGGAGGGAAGAAGGGAGGGAGGAAGGAAGGCAGGTTGAAAGGTTGGTTTGATTGGTAAGCTTCTATAATACCAGCTACTCAGGAGGCTAAGGCAAGACCATCGGTTGACCTCAGGAGCTAGAGACCAGCTTGGGCAACATAATAGTGACACCTCATCTCAAAAACAAAAACAAAAACAAGTGAAAAGTAGCTTATTTCCAACTCTCCTCAGGAAGATAACACAGAGGAGCAGTAAGGTGGGTCCTGGGCTCACGGGTCTTAGAAAATGAGTTTCTGTCTATTCATGGCCTGTGACAAAGAACACCTTTCGACATGTCCCAAAACGTACCCAGCCTTGTGCCTTCACCTGCTCCTACCTGGTTACAAACCGCAGCGATAAAGCAGCCAGGCTCTGGGATCCTGTCTCCAAAGAGCAAAGCCATGGCACTGGAAATGCCATATGGCATGTGAAAGTTGCCATTGCCAACCTTCCAGATTAGCCTCCCCCATTAAATAAAATCGACTCACCCTGTGTGTGCTCTGCAGGGCCTTCTTTCCATGTGACGTGTCCCCGTAATTTTTCCTGAATTTCTTTCAGGTGGCGGAGAATATTGCTCATTTTCCCCTCAGATGTGTTGGATGTCATGCGCTTCATAGAAGCCAAGGAAAGTTCCTCTCCAGAAGAAGGAGCCTATGGATAATCATAAAATAGTAAATCAATGAAAGTCCTCTAGAACCCATCAAATATTATGCTCAAGTTCTGCCACCCACTGGGACAGAAGATTAAACCAACAATTGTAATAATAAAAAAAAGTTCTGCCACCCATCTACAATTTTCCATTCAACTTTGGGCAAGCTTTTAAAAACAACATTAAACTGTCAAATGTCAAGTACTTGCCTTGAAAACAATCTGGAATAATACACAGCAAAGCAAAAATATTAAAGAGTTCTTATTTCTGAGTGGTGGGCTCTAGAGTATTAGTTTTTGCTTTTTTATTTTTATTTTTTGATTGTACTAGGGATTAAGCACTTATGCATGCTAAACTTGTGCTCCCCTGCTGAGCTATTCTCCAGCCTACTTTATTTTCCTGTAAAATGCTATGTATTTTCAAATTTTTTTCTAATAACCAGCATAAAACATAACCATTGTGCTGCAGCATGGAAATGCATTTGCTGGGAATGGTGGTTCATGCTTGTAATCCCAGTACTCAGGGCTGGGGGCATGGCTCAACAGGTAGAGCGCCTGCAAGCTCCCGTACCTCAAAGGAGAGAAGAGAGGAGTTGGTTAGGTAGAGGGGGTCATAGCCCACTTGAGCTTCCATTAACACACCTCCAGGAATCATCCATGTTTGGCAGTAAAGACACAGTTAAAGATTGAGACTTACTACAGCTTCTTTGCAAACAAATTCTTACTGCTGCAGTTGGAGCTCCCTATCTCTGTTCCTAGCTCTGTTCTTTCCTCTCTCCAGTTGAGCCTACCATGCCAGGATGCTTGATTCCTTCTCTATTCCAGTTTCTGAAAGGGCTCTCTGGTTCTGAAGGTTCTTGACAATGTCACAAGCTCTTGCGCCACCTCTGTAGCTCCCACATGACTTCTGTGGTGCTCTTCTGTACTGCTACCTTTAAAAGAACAAAGCTGGGCTTCTGGGTTCCATAAAACTGGACCAGAAGCCACCTAGATAGAGGGAGACATAAACACTGTGATTCTGGAATAGTGATACAGTCAAGAAATAAACCCTCAGCTATGTGGTCAAAGAGTTTTTAACAAGGGTGCCAGGACTATTCAGAAGAGAAAGGAGTCTTTTCAATTAATGCTAGCAGGGAAACTTTATATCCACATGCAAAAGAATGAAGTTGGACTCTTACCTTACACCATATGCAAAATCAACTCAGAAGGCTGAGGCTGTAACTCAGTGGAAGAGTGCATGGCTAACATACATGGTGTCATGGGTTAAACCCCCAGCACCAAAGAAAAAGAAAATAGGAACTCAGTTGTAAAACAAAGTCACTTGCAGCACTAGTCATATAATAAGTAAAAAGTAGGGGAAAAAATCAAATGTGATTGATGAATAAATGGATTAAAAGTGGTATATCCCAGCTGGCCATGGCGGCACATACCTATAATCCCAGCACTGGAAAGGGTAAGGCAGGTGGATCATGAGTTCAAGGGCAGCTGGGCTACTTATGGAGATTCTGTCTTAAAAAATCACACACACAGACACACACACACACAGAGCAAGGTATATCCATACAATGCAATATAATTCAGCCATACAAAATAAAGAAGTTCTGATACATGCTACAAAATGAATCAACCCTTAAATACTATGGTGAGTGAAAGAAGCTGATATAGAGGAACAAATATTGAATGATACCACTTATATGAAATATTTAGAATAGGAAAATTTAGAGAAAGTAGGTTAGACACAATCAACAGTTGAGGGAGGGGGAATGAGGAGCTATTGATTAATGGGTACAGAGTTCCTGATTGTGGTGATGAAAACATTTTGGAAACAGTGGTGATAATTGCATAATATTGGAAATATGACTAATACCATTGAATGGTATACTTTCTTTAAAAAAGAAAAGCAGGTTTATTAGAAAGATGAAAATGACAGACAGTGTGCTAACTAGAACAGCTTGGTTGTACAAGGAAGGGTCTGAAAATTCTCCCCCACACTTTTTTTTTTTTCTTTTTTGCGGTATGGGGCTTGAACTCAGGCCCTTCACCTTGAGCCACTCCGCCAGCCCTTTTTTTGTGATGGGTATTTTGGTAACAGGGTCTTAAGAACTATTTGACAGGGCAGGCTTCGAACCCTGATCCTCCTGATCTCTGTCTCCTGAGTAGCTAGGATTACAGGCGTGAACCACTGGCTAAATCAATGTTTTGTTTTTTGGCGGCACTGGCGTTTGAACTCTAGGCCTCACGCTGGCTAGGTGGGCGCTCTTCCACTTAAGCACTCCACCAGCCCTTTTTATTTGGGTATTTTTGAGATAGGGTCTTGCTTTTATTTTCCCTAGGCTAGCCTCTAACTGATTCTTCTATTTCTGCCACCCAAGTAACTAGAATTACAGGTGTGAGCCACTGATGCCTCCCAGGGATGGCTTAAGGGAGACCAGGAGGATAGTGCTTTGAACCCAGCCAGGGCAAATAGCTTGTGAGACCCTATCTCAAAAAACCCATCACAAAAAGGCTGGTAGAGTGATTCAAGGTGAAAGGCCCTGAGTTCAAATCCCAGTACTGCAAAATAAATAAATAAAAGTTAAAATTTTGTTTAAACGGAAATTTTATGATGTATGTATTTTACCACAATAAGAAATTTTCAGAGAGCTGAGCATGGTTGTCTGTAATCCCAGCTACTCTGAAGGCCAAGATAGGAAGACCTGGAGTTAAGCCCAGACCAGGCAAAGTTAGGCAGACTTTATCGCAAACACAAAATACAAAAAAAAGCAGGCTGGGGCGTGGTTCAAGTGGTCCAGTGCTTGCCTAGCATGCACAAGTCCCAGGGTTGAGTCCAAAGTTCCAAAAAAAAAATCAGAGACATCGCAAACTGGAAAAAGGGGAAATATGTAGAGGTGCATAGCATCTTTGATAGAATTTCGAATGTTTTTCTCTTTCTTTAATCTTTTCTGGAATGGCCAAAGATCCTCCCGAGGGCAGGTTCTACTTTTAGGTTGAGAAAAGCCATGTAAGAGAAGAAAGAGTGGAAGAGGACCCGAGAGCCTGAGAGGGACAGAGGGAACCGCGCAGGTGGCCTGGGCAGTGGGAGGAGCGAGTGGAGTTGCGGCCCCGCCTACCTACCCGCGGCTGTGCTGGGCGGTGCTGGGACGCGAGGTCGGGGGCGGAGTCAGGGGCGGGGCCTGGCCCGGGGGCGGGGCTCTGGGCGAGTTCCGCGTCCTCCAGCTCGCGTGCGGCGCGGCTGTACTTGTCCACCAGGTCCTCGAGCAGCGTGTTCTTCCGCAGCCGCGACCGTGGCGCCAAGGCCTCGCGACACGTGGGGCAGGCCCAGGGGCTCCCAGCCCCTCCCGCGCCCCACACCTTCCCCAGGCAATCGCGGCAGAAGCTGTGGCCGCAGGGCAGCGTGGTGGGCCAGACCAGCAACCCGTGGCAGATGATGCAGCTCAGGTCGTCCTCGCCCAGCCACACGGGGATCGCAGAGCTGGAGGCCAGGCCAGCCATGGTCTCCCGGCCGCCGCCGCCGCCCTAGGAAGTCGGGACCCGCGTCTCCCCAAGCTCCTCCCCTGCTCTTCCTTTCCCCCTCTTCCTCCTCCCTTCGCCTCTTCCGCTCCTCGCCCAGGTCCTCCCCGGGGTCCAGTGCTGCAGACAACTGCACGCAGCCGCTCTGCCCGCGCCGCCATCTGGCGGAGATGGCCTTCAGCTGCGACCTCCTCCTCCTGGGAATCCGTTCGCCCCAACCGCTGGGAACCCGCAGACACCCCAAGGTTTGATGTGGGAATCCGTTCGCCCCAACCGCTGGGAACCCGCAGACACCCCAAAGTTTGATGTGGCCCTTCCCCCCCCACCCCGCCCCCGTCCCCATTAAGACGCAGCCCTGGCAACTCTTGGGAGAAGAGTTCGATTCGGGAACTCCTGTGCAGTGATGCGCTCACTAGGTGTCCACCCCCTTTAACTAGTAGTAAGGGATTAAAGAAAACCTGAGACAATTTTATTTATTTATTTATTTATTTATTTTATAGGTTTCTTTTTTATTGTTTTTACATTTACTCACATGTGTATACATTGTTTGGACCACCCTTCCCTGCCCCCTTTCTGAGCAGAACCCAGGTTTAGTTCTTTTTTTTTTTTTTCATTTTTCTTTTATTATTCATATGTGCATACAAGGCTTGGTTCATTTCTCCCCCCTGCCCCCACCCCCTCCCCTGAGACAATTTTAAAATACAAATCGCACTGGGCCTGGTGGTGCACTTCGGTAATTCCAGCTATGGGAGCACAAGTACGAGGATCAGGGTCTCAGGCCAGTCTGGGCAAAAACGTCAGACCACATCTGAAAAACTAAGTAAAAAATGGCCGGAGCGTGTGGTCCTGCCTAAGAAGAGTGACGCCCTGAGTTCGAATCTCAGTATCACCACCAAATTTTATATAAAATATATATAAAGGTATATATAATATAAGATATATAAAATAATACAAGATATATATAAAATATATATAAAATAAATAAAATATATATTAGAGAGAGAGAGAGAGAGATGATTGGGCCCTACGCCCAGATGGTCTGATTTCATTGTGGGGTTCCTGGCCCGGTGCCGGTGGCTCACACCTGTAATCCTAGTGAGACTGGAAGTTAAGAGATAGAAAATGATCAGGCAAAACAGGAACGGGGAACTCCATGGAAACTTAACCAAGGACACAGATGAGGTAAACAGGTGTGGGAGTCTAGGTAATCTTGAAACTGTGCCCAGGCCGTGAAACCGGTTCATAAGTGGCACGTGAGCCATGCTCTGATAGGATGCCCCGCTGGTGTGCGGGGAAAAGAAAAGAGCGATGCACAGTGCCCCTGAGATGTCCACGGCTGGCACAAATGTACATCCCCTGAATGGACCAATAGCACTGAGGCACAAGCAGCTTCCCTTCAGTCAGGAAATAAAATCCTCATAAACAAAACAAAAACCCTAGACAAAGAGCCTGGAGGGCTCAGCCTTTCTGAAATTCATTTCATGTAAATGGGCGCTTTTCTACTCCTTTCCTCTCTGATTAGATAAAACTACTCTTTTGCTCACCCTGTTGTCTGTGATTTTCATTCTTCGATTGCAGGAGACACAGTTCCCGGCAACTACAGCACACCTGAGAGCAGATCACTGCAACAGTAGCGACTCAGGAGGCAGAGATCAGAAGAATACTAGTTTGAGGCCAGCCTGGGCAAGTAGTGAGGCCCTATCTCAAAAATACCTAACACAAAAAAGGACTGGCAAAGTGGCTAAGACAAGTGAGGCCCTGAGTTCGAATCCCAGTGTCACCAACAATTTTATATATATATATAATATATATATATATTATATATATATATATAATAATATGACCCTATGCCCAGATGGTTCCAGCACCTGCCTAACAGGCATGAGGCCCTGAGTTCAAACCCAGGTACCACCAAACAAAAAAATCCAAAACCACCTTCTGGCCTCCCTTCCCTGTGATTCTTATGCTCAGTCAAGATGGAATAACTGACCTCTGGACTTTTAAAATCACTATCATAATGTGTAATTGTGCCACTGTCCCCCGACTTCTTCTAAGGGCTGACAGCACAGTACCTAACATGCTCCCTGATAAAAAATAGTAGAGTTTTCTTGAGCTAGCACCTGCTGCTCTCCCTTTCTCTCCTCGCCTGCCTCTTATTCCAGCCCTAAGGACATTACAATAAGAAAATGTGACTGGAAGAGAACTTGGTCCTCCCCAGTGACTCAAAAGTCTTAGACTGGAACCCATAACTCTCTGATCTGTTCAAATGAATTGATAATGTCTTATGCTTTACCCCATCTTTCCCGGGCTCAAACTCAACTATTTCAAAACGCACAAGGTTGTAGCTATTTCCAATGCTGGGAGTTATAAATAGTGGTCATTATGTAACCAGAGTCCTAGGCCAGAGGTTCCAGTGGGTCCTCTACTCCAGGGGTTCCAGTGGGTCGGGTCAGGCCTCTTGCCCCCATACACTAAATAGAGAGTAGTGATAAAAGGCACAGAAAGGAAATTTATTATGTAGCACAGGCACACTGTGGGGAGAGGAAAAGTCAATATTTCAACCCCATCTTTTGGGTACAGATGTGAGCTTTAGGTTTAAATAGAAGAAGAACTGGGGCAGGGGACCAGAGGTATCCATAATTATTAAACAGTTCTGGTAAAGATGTGATCCAGTTCCTCATTATCTCAGGATTTGGGGAGGGGCTTGTCATGATGAAATCATTGCTGCCTGAGGGGTAGAGTGGACTCCATCACAAGATGTTTATCCTTAAGCCCTCTTGTTTGGATCCACGGTGACTACTGTGAGAGAGAATGGCTCAAAGGAGATACAGCTTTAAAAGCAGCTAGAGCAAGTCCTCGCATCTTTCTCCCAGCTTTTGGATTATGGAGACGGTGCCATCATCTGAAGACCTGGGGCTCTGAGTGGCTAAGATGGGCAGACTCCCTTTGGCCCCCTAGGGAGAGAGGTGCACTGGTGAAGCACTGAGCTTACTGTGATTAGTGGGGACTGTTGTTTCCACATAACCTAGTCTATCCTGACTGATGTATTTCTCCAAATTTATTCCAGGGTCCAGGCCAGTCTAGGGCAAAATTGCAAGACCCTATCCAAATAAATAAATAAATAAAAATAAACAACAAAAAAAGGACTGGAGGTATGCCTCAAGTAGCAGAGCACTTTCCTAGCAAGCACAAGGCCCTAAGTTCAAACTGCAGCAGCAACTGCCCCTACTCCCAAAAAAAAGAAAAGAAAGTCAGCCTGGTATGTAGCTCAATGGTAGAGCACTTGCTTAATGTATATGAGGTCCCAGGTTCAGTCCAAGTACCAAAGGAAAAAAAATCAC